AGATACTACCGGTCGAGCCGACAGTACTAGTCGTGGCTATATCAAACAATGTCAAAGGCATTGAAAAAAGATTTAACAAAATTGTACTTGAAGATGTCCAGTATGTTCAATTTGTAATTTTTCTTATGTATCATTCACCATAAAATGTACATTTAGAAATTATAATATTTTTTTATCAGAAATTATTTGGTGATAGCGAATTAACTTGCACACTATGGGACGATTATATTGATATTCTACTTGAAGCCTACAATAAATATTCTCCATCAGAGCTGATGGTTGTAATCATACAAATGTGCCGAGCCAAATCTTTTGATCATGATAAATTATCAATTAATAAAAAATATTAATTAATTTTATTTTTTTGGCTTTAATCTATTTTTTTATTTACATATTGATTTATTATTCATTTATTAGTAATTACCGATTTTTGTTATAGGCTTTATGAGGATTGCAAATACCTTGGTGGCTACTAAAATGATTGCAAGAAGTGATGTTCCCAATATTATAAACTTCAAAGAAAGGTGTTTGTAACATAAATTTTTTCAAATCAATGAATTAGTTATGTGAATAGATAGTTTGGCTCTAATCAACTTTTTTATTTATTTAAGGTATACAACTCCCAAGTTCGGTCAACTCAATCATCAAGCCAAAAAGTGAAGTCATTCATGTCGAATGTATATGATGATTTGGAATCTGAGACGCTCCAATAAAGAGTGGCCAATTTTTTTTTTTTTTTCAAAATGATAGAGATAACTATTATAAAACAAAGGTGAACAATGTTCGAATACAAGAAGCATAACAATACTGAAAAAGAAAACTGAGAGAAACGCCACAAGCGGTCTAAAACCTCAACTAAAACACTAAGCCTTCAACTGAAGCCAACTGAGAACACTAAGAAACAACACAAAGCAAAGAAACAATCCCCCAACCATAGCTTAAAGCCTAGCCAGAAGATACCTTCCCACAACCTACCACTACAACCGCAAAAACTGATTAAACTAATAAGAAGCTAAAAAATACTCAAGCCAATTCGAGTGAGACATCTTCACTAGCACATGTTCGGGGATCAAAAACATTTGAAATATCCAGAGATTTCTGGACTTCCAAAGCCACCAAATCATATATGTGGAAAGTTGGATTCGAGCTTTGGCTACTTCAGAGTTGTCCAATGAGCACACTTGAAACCACTAGGCAGGAAAGGAGTCAGTTTTACTGCTTATTCCATCCCACAGAACAGGACATAGGTCCCAACATCTTCTAGCCCTAGAACATTTGAAAAAAAAAGATTATCTATGGTTTCTTGATCTCTTCACCACAAATAGTACATGTAATGTCCAATTTCATACCTCTTTGTAAAAGATGTACAGTTACTGGAAGAGTATTTGTAAGGCATTTCCACAGAAAGAACTTGACTTTGCCTGCAATATTTAGCTTCCAATATATGAATTTAGTTCCCAACTTGGTAGAGGAAGCATCGTTGCTTTCAGAAAAGTCTGCCTGCAAGAATTTAGTAGTCGACAGATGCTTGTATGTACTTGACACAGTGAAGTCACCCTTTTATTCAAGCCCCAAGTACAGTCTATCACTTCTGTCTGCATGAAGAGAAGAGCTATCCAAAATATCTTTGCTATCAGATTCATCAAACATTGTTTAACCAACCATTCATTCCGCTGATTGCCATTGGACTGCAGCAAATCCTTAACCCATATAAGATATCTTCTAGCAATGGGGATTAAAGTAGGTGATGGCTTATTAAGCTTAGGCACCCAATTGAAGTCCTGAATTCTGGTACTAAGTCCATTCCTCACCTCAACCCTCAGCCACTTGGAGATAAGTAGGCAGGACATCCATCCAGATGTTCTACATCCAAGAGCCCCTTTAGATTTTTTGAGCATGAACAATGGAGGAGTGTGGTAAGTACTTGTCCTTGAGTAGTCTGCTAACCAGGAGGTCGGGAATTGAAGCCACCCTCCATAGCTGCTTGCAAACTAAGGCTTTGTTGAACAATTGCAAATCCAGGAAGCTAAAACCTCCTTGCTGTTTAGGGGACAACCAACTCCATTTTTTCCTATGAATCCCATGAGGTTGATCAGTACCTGTTCTCCACCAAAACTGAGCACAAAGCCTTGAGATTTTGAGCATAGAGTGAGAGGAATCTTAAACAAGACATTGAGAAGATAGGCAGGGCTTGAATTACAGCTTTATGTAACACCTCTTCCCAGCAGAGCTAAGGAATTTAGATTTCCAACTGATCAGCTTATTCCTGACTGAAGTAAGAAGGTAATCAAAAACTTCCTTTTTGGCTCTGCCAATGCCAAGGGGGAGACCGAGGTATTATTTTTTATTAATATGAACTACTTATCCATAATCCTAAGTTTCTATATTTATTTTTCAACCTAAGATGTTTTGGATCTATGATGTGTTGAAGTTAGCAGCGATTGGTTATTCAACTTTTTCCCACACAAAAGCATGGGTTGATAACATGTTTAAATACAAACTCAACTTACATTCAATCAACATTATTAAATTTAACTCACTTTAAATCAATATCCAATTTTGACCGATTTTATTGATTTTTACTGTCTACCAATCACGCCCTAATTGACTCTCCAAAAACTAACCAAAAACTAGAAACCCAACAACTGCTATGGAATATAGATACCTAGGAACATGCTCAAGTTTCTATATTCTCTCGTAGGGGAGGCGATTCTCTCGTAAAGGAGGCAATTCTCTTGGTAAAGAGTTGGTCTGAGTGATTAATCGTTGTCCAGGTTGTGCAGATAGAATGGTCGAAAATGTTTGGAAAATTTTTCATAATGTTTGGATGCTGAAGGCAACCATTGTCCAGGTTGTGCAGAGAGAATGGTCGAAAATTTGTTTGTTGGGTGCTGAGTAGTTTTTATTTTTAGTTGTAGTGTTTTTATCTAATTCGAAGCTAGGTCCTTATGTTTAGTGGCTTCGATTCGCTTGTTATTTGCGTTATCTTGGGTGCTTTGTTTATGTTTTGATCTCTTGTTTGCATTCGGGGTGTATTTTGGTGCTAAAGGGCTCTTAACTTGGTTTATGCCTTTAGTACTTGGGGTATTTGTGTATTTAGGTCACCGTTGGTGTGGTTCTCGTGTTTGTTTGGATTGTAAGAGCTAATTAGCTCTTCGATTGGTTCTCCTGTTTGTTTGGATTGTAAAAGTTAGTTAGCTCTCCGATCTGTACTTTCTATTTGGTTGGTATGAGTATTTTACTATCGCTTGGAAAAAATAAAAATAAAAAATTAATACCTGAGTGTGCCAGCAAACACTAATATCGAATGTAAAGTAGAGATGACGAAATCATGTGTGAGCCAATTTACTTAGCCTATGTTTGGTAAAACTAGCTGATAGCAGATAAACTAGTTTATAGCTTATCAATATTTTTTTAGCATATAGTTTATAGCTTATGACTTATAGCTGAAAAGCTAGCTTATATGATAAAAGTGTTTGATAAAATTAGTTGATAAGCTAGCTGGAATAAAAAAATTCAACTAGCTTATTTGAAAAGCTACATGAAGAAGTTTATCAAATAAGCTCGAACTTTTTAAAAAAACTCGTCATACCAAACGCGACTTATTTAAATATAGAGAGCTTATAAGCTAACCATATAAGTTATAAACTAACTTATTTATCTACCAAATAAAACCTTAAAAGTTGGAACGCTTTGGTGGTTAGCTACTTTAATCTTAGTCCGAATAAAAAATTTAGACCCAAATGTCGGCCACAACAAAAGATCATTCACAACCACAAACAAACTAGTGTACACTTCATATACTCGTGCCATTCAGTATCAAACTTATGTAGAAATTAAAACTTAA